TCCTTCTGAGTAGTCTAATTTTACTGTGTTTTCTTATTCATTTAGTTCAACAAAAATGAACTTTACATAACTTCTGAAAACTGTGCTTGTAGTATGTAAAAGTAACTATTTGACGAGGTATCCTGTACTTTGTTGTTTGATTTAATGGATTTGAAAGATCCACTTTTAAATTTCGAGAAAATAACGAGTTTTTAAATCTATGTATAAAAAAAACGAGAAAAAGTGAAACGAATAGAAAACGTAGACTTTACATGTCATCAAATAGGTCGGCGCCCGATTCAAGTACATCGTTATTGTTTGTGTGGCTTTGTATGGTGTTGAAATCATCAAATTTGTAGAATTCCTTTACTTCGTCTTCTGTCACTGTACTGATTTCGCTTTCATTTGCCGAGATCAAGCCCAATTTTTCGTTGATAAGTGATTGCCACAATTGAATCTTTTCGCGTTGTTTCAATTCCTCTTTGAATGTTGGTATCCACGAATTGTATTTGAATGGTCCTTTCAATTTGGCCGTCTCGCGATATACCATTAGAGCTTTGAGCACCTTATCATCCATGGCGACCATTGATTTAATCACAATGGCAACGATTACCTTTTCGATTTGTTCCGAAAGCACATTGAACGGTTCACCTTGGTCCAGCAAACTATTGAAATCATCTGCCGGTTTAATGGTGCCAACTTCATGGACATCACTGTATTTCTTCTGCTCAAGATCTGGTTTGACTTCCGATTCGGGTTCCTGTTTATCCGCTTTGAGGATTTTTTGCAAGATTGCATCTTTGCCTGTTAATTTGGCCTCCTTTAATGGGAACACCGTTTTCAATTGTTCAACATCCGGCTTTTTCGGTGCAGTTATCAACGCCTTAATATCATCGTCCAACTTCAACATCGGTTCACCTGGATTGATAGCACGGTGTGCCATCGCACGATATGTGTACTGCAAACCTGGATCCAATAATTTGTCAAACATTCCCAATGGTTCAATATCGTCGACATTCATTTGATCTTCACCCGACAAATCCATTGAGTCAATGAATTTATCCATACATTCACGTTGCTCGTCACTCGGTGCATATGCATTGGACGTAAGTGTCGGAAACTGTAGATCAACGTAGCTGTCATTGTAGTTCAGCTCGTACATGAGCATTTTATCTTCATCGGGGAATAATGCCATGAGTTTTGGGGCTACGCCAGCTCTATATGCATATCGAGCAATGATTGCCAGTTTTGATTTCTCCATTGCTTTTAATAGAGCGGCAAACTTTTTTGTTGAAACGTCGGCACCGTATTGTGGTACAACCAGCCAAATCGTATCGCCAACCAAATAAACCAGTTTAATTGAAGCAATCTCGGTGAATCCGATTAATTTCAATTGTTTTCCACCATTTTCAAACTTGGTGTCTTCGAATATAATCGGCTCACCACCATACATATATCTGGATTTTAAGAGAAACACATTTTGATTAATTGAGATTGTATTTTCATTTGGATTTTGATTTCTTTTTTCAATATGACATACCCTTTGATCAAAGCTTCAGCAGCAGCCTCTTTTTCAATAACTGTATCATTGTGTTTATATTCAGTTTTCGAGGTAGCAGCAATCATGCTTGATGAAGTAGATACACCGAGTGCACCGAGTTGTTGCACACTTTCGCCGAAACGATTTTTCCAAGCATCCAATTCTTTTTCATCACGGACCTGTGCGAAAATATTTTTTTTTGGTAATTCTCAATAACAATGAAACTCTCTCTTTCAGTGTCAAACTATTTCTTATGATCAACTATGGCCCATAGCACCATACTAACGTTATACAGTAAACAATGGTTTTATTCAACAAACATGTCAGTGCATGTTCTGTTGTGTACGAGCGTAAACACATGAAGTCTACTCACATAAATATACGCGGCAATTTTAATTTCCAGATTACTTCCAATGGTTAATTCAGCTTTCCATGGCGTTCGTCGGCGTTTTTTCTTGTCAACATAGCTTAATGTTTCAACAGCTTCACTTATGTTGCACAAAACACCAAGGTTTTCTCTCACAATGTCCTCGGCGAATCGTTCGCTTTGAATTTGATTTGCATCTGCATCGGGTGTTCGAATGAAACTTGCTTTCGCCGAATCTATATTTTTGGAGCTAAATTTCAATGGACACCGATTAGTCAAGCGACTAAAAAATGCAAATAAAAATGTAAATTTAACTTACACGACAATCAATTCAATGTCGAGATCCATCAAACCTTTGACAATAGTATCTTTCACATCGTCACCGCCCTCA